GGTACAATGACTCTGTGTATTCCTTCCATCTTCTCTTGATGCATTCTGCATCATTCAATAATTTGCCCAGAGAATCTTTCAATAATGAAAGTCAAGGCTTGAATTTTTTCTTCAGTTCCCCTAACTTGAGAAATGCTGAGACAGCATTCCAAAATCTTTGGGACACAGCAAAAGTGGCGCTGGGAGGAAAAGTTATTGCAATAAATGCACCTATCAAGAAAGGACAAACCAAATTTAGCACCTTAACACAGCATCTCCAACCATTATAAAAGTAGCAAAAAGGGGAACCTACATTCACCAATATGTTTGGAGGATTGGAGGGCTTACAGCTGGGGGAATTTGTAGGAGAATCCTACAGAGAGAGTGTGAAAATCCATTGTTTTCTAGTTCAAGATGCTCAGCTGTTCCGGAGTGGCCATCTTGGGAGAGAACATCTTGATTGTATCAGGACTGATTGCATCAGGGGAGAAAAATCTTGATTGTATCAGCATTGATATCGAAATTTAAAGTGACAGTTTCGACATAAAACCAAATGGCCACCACTCATCTGTCTGTCGTGCTGTGGTGGTTTGAGTTGCTCTGATTCTGAGGGCTCTGCCACCGGTATTTTAAATAACCAGCAGGGTCACTCATGGTGGACAGGTTTCAGATGAGCTTCCAGACAAAGACAGACTAGGAAGAAAGAGTGACGAACTACTTCCGAATCGCTAGTCACTGAAAACCTTATGAATAGCAGAGAAACCCTGATATGTGGTAAAGTTACCTAAAAGATGTGTGTCAAATGTTTGGACGGGGGTGTCATTGCAATAGTGCTTGCCATGGGTGCTGCCCTCCGTGGATGTGCCTGTGAGTTTCCATCTTGGAAAGAGATCCCACAGTCTAAGTCAAACTTTCAGATAAATGCAGCTCTGACCAACACCTTGACATCAGCTTCAAAAGAATTCTGAACCAGCACCACAGAGCTAAGCCACTCTCAATATTTTGACCCAGGAAATGGATATAATTTGGTTATGTTGTTAAATTTAGGATATTCTGCTGTGTAGCAAGATAAAAACAATGACTTACTGAGGTGTCCACTTCTCTGTCATTTTCAGAAAGTCCATCCACTGTGGCCGTATCTGGAGGAGAGAGGACAAGTAGTCATTACTCTGGGGTGGACCTTAGAAGGTTGTTTTGTCTGAAATCTCACAGCTTTAGATTTTATCCCTCATCCCAACCAGAACACTCTAGAATGTCCCCAAACCTTCCCCTCTCCCCTTATCACTTTCCTGACTTTCACATCTGTCCCTCTTCCTCCTACCTTTACCTGGTGTGCTCTTTAGGATGTCAACACCTGGACCGAACCTGAGTGGTAAAGAACGAAAGAGAATTAGGAGACAGACAGGAAGCAGAGGACTGGGTGGGCATTCTGGGATCTTCTGTAGTGTCCTCACCTCTCCTGTGGCTTCTGATCCTTGCTCTTGCTGCTGGGGATTCCTGAGTACAATCAATGGTCTGAATTTAATAGGGAGATCTTTTCTCCAACATCTCCCAATGGCCTCTCTAGGTCACTCAGCTCTCTCCTTGAAACCTACCATGTTTTCCCTGATGCCGACGATACAGGAAGAAGAGGACCAGCAGGAGAAAACCAAGGAGAAAGGCCACAGAGACACCAATGAGGAAGTAAAGCTGGTCTTGCAGCAGGTCTTCAGAATGACGTACGCCTAAGGAAAGATGGTGTCCGATAGCAGCAGCTTTCCATTACTGAACACCTGCTGCACCTTACATTTTGCTCACAGCTAGTGAACACCAACTGCACACCACACACAACTCAAAATACAGAGAACTTACCACACACCAAACACAGCTCAGTTTTCGAGCACTTTTGTTGTTGTTGCTGTTGTTAGGTGCCATCGAGTCAGTACCGACTCACAGCAACCTTATGCACAGCAGAAGGAAACACTGCTGGGTCCTGGACCAAACTCACAATTGTTGCCGCGCTTGAGCCCATCGATGCTCAAACACTTATGGCTCACCACCAACAGTTGATACTGCAGAGTACATGCCACCCATAACTGTTGAACACCCAGGACACACTACACATAGCTGGTTGTTTCTCATGTTGTTGTTAGGTGTCTCCAAGTTAGTTCCAACTCACAGGGATCCTATGCACCCCAGAGCCAAACACTGCCTGGTTCTGCACCATGCCACAATTGCTGTTATGTTTCAGCCCATTGCTGCTCCCACTGTGCCAATCCATCTCATCTGGATTCATCCTCTTTTTCGCTGACCCTCCACATTAGAAAGCATAATGACCTTCTACAGGAACTGGTCCCTCCTGATAATATGTCTGAAATATGAAAGAGGAAATGTGGCCATCTTGGCTTCTAAGGAGCACTCTTGTTGTACTTCTTCCAACACAAGATATTTTTGCTCTTTCGGCAGTCCACAGTACTTTCAATATTCTTCTCCAACACCATAATTCAAATGGATCAATTCTTCTATGGTCTTCCTTATCCATTGTCCAACTTTCACATGCAAATGAATCTATTGAAATACCATAGCTTGGGTCAGGTGCACCTTAGTCCTCAAACTGATAGCTTGGCTTTTTTAATGCAAAACATCATTTGATTTATTGACTTCTGATTCCATGAGTATTGATTGTGGATAAAGTTTTTGACAACTTCGATCTTTTCTCCATTTGTCATAATGTCATTTATTAGTCCAATTGTGAGGATTTTTGGTTTCTTTACATTGAGGTGCAATCCTTTCTGAAAGTTGTAGTCTTTGATCTTCATCAGCAAGTGTTTTAAGTCTACTTCGCTTTCAGCAAACAAGATTGTATTATCTGCATATCACAGGTTGCTAACGAGTCTTCCTCCAGCTCTTTTTTTATATAATCCAGTTTCTTGGATTATTTGTTCGGCATACAGAGTGAGTAAGTATGGTGAAAGGATTTTAAACCATTTGGTGTCTCTGTTGTGTTCAGACAACTGCCTCTTGGTCTATTCTTCTCAAGTACATACTTACATATATATATAAGCCTTCATTCACATCATAATCCTTCAACACAGTGTTATTATCCTCATTTTACAAATCAAGCCAGGGTCTTGAGTGCTGAAGTCCTTTTTCCATAGTGACAGGACTAGACATTGGCAGAGATGGAATTTGTCTGATTCCAAAGTTCGTTGTCTCTCCCCTGCCAAGAGGGAATCACCAACCCCAGGGGTCAGGAACTTCCAGTCAGAATGGGGAGGTTTACCTAACAGGGTCAGGTCTGACCACCTAACAGGGTCAGGACTGACCACCACCACTTTTGCCCCCATCTTTATTGTTACTATCACTCATGGAAACCAGGAATTGGGAGACGAGGGTCAGAAATGTGAGTCAGACAACCTCCCTCATCAGGATCTCCCAAAGACCCTCTAGACCATAGACCTTTCTAGAATGATGACCATGTTCTAAGGTTGTTGTTGTTAAGTGCCGTCAAGTCGATTTTGACCCATAGCAGCCCTGTATAGGGTTTCCAAGGAGCAGCTGGTGAGCTTGAACCACCGACCTTGCAGTTCACACAGCTTTGCAGTCTGACACATTAGCCCACAGCGCCACACCAGAACTCCATGTTCTAAGGTACGCACTGTGTAATATGGTAGTCACATAAGGCTCTTTAAAATTAAATTAAACTACAATTAAATGGAATTAAAATGCCAGATACTCAGCAACTCTTGCTCAAGTGGCCAGTAGCCACATGTAGCCAGTGGTCACCATACTGGACAGTGCAGGTGTGTGCCATTTCCTTCACATGGACATTCCACCAGGCAATGCTGCTCTCTCCACTGTTTGTGGACCTCTGTAGAGACAAGTAGGAGTAGGGAGTGGGAACCAGCCCTTACTGGCCTCCTCCTGGGTTCTCACCTGAGTGTAGGAATTCCCATCTCTAGTCCTTTCTCATCTCTTTGCAGCCGCCTTTGGATGGGGTAGAACCGCCTGTTCTGGATGAAGAAACTGAGACCCAAATGTGCTCATGTTGCCAGAAGTGGCCAGGTACAGAGCATTGTGGTTTATATAAATTGTTATCAAGTGCCGTCGAGTCGATTCCGACCCAAAGCGACTCTATATAGGGTTTTCAAGGAGCAGCTGCTGAGCTTGAACCACTGACCTTGCAATTCAAATGGCTTTGCAGTCTGGCGCATTAGCCCACAGGACTAATTACATTAGGACTCCTTATGTAAATTGTTGTTGTTGTTAAGTGCTGTCGAGTCGGTTCCGACCCATTGCATCCTGCCTGGTGGATATCCCTGCTCCATAATGAAGAGCTCCTTCTGGGATCTTCCAACAGCAGGTTGAGTGTACCTGTCCTCTTCCCTCTCCCACTAGCTGCTCCTTCAGGGGAGGCAGGCACTTCACCCTCTTGGAGGGTCTTATCCAAGATTCCACCAACAGTTCTCCATCACCGCTGCCTAGGTTTCCCTTGTAACATTTATCCTAATTAAAATGAAATTCAGTTTTACAAAAGCTTTCATGTATATACACAATTTAAAATGACATGTGTATTATAAATCATAGGTCTCGGTGTGGCGCTGTAGGATAAGCAATGGACTGCAAGGTTGGTTTGAACTGCTGTGGTTGGTGGTTTAAATCCACCATCAGCTCCTCGGAAACCTTATACAGGGTCACTAGGAGTTTGAACCAACAACACCAAGCAACAAAAACAATCATTGTAGGAAAATACCATATTTAATAGAATATGGTGGTGGCCATGTGCCATGGAGTCGGTTTCAACTCAGAGCGACCCTGTACAGGGTTTCTGAGGCTGTAAATCTTTATGGGAACAGAAAGCCTCATCTTTCTCCCACGGAACGGCTGGTAGTTTTGAACTGCTGACCTTGTGGTTAGCAGCCTGATTTGTAACCACTACGCTACCAGAGTTCCTTAATGGAATATGTTATTGTTGTTGTTAAGTGCCGATGAGTCGGTTCCAACCCATAGCGACCCTGTATAGAGTTTCCAAGGAGCAGCTGGTGAGCTTGAACCACCAACCTTGCAGTTCAAACAGCTTTGCAGTCTGACGCATTAGCCCACAGCACCACACCATAGCAGAGACTATATATATATATATATAGTACAGGAGCTCTGGTAGCGTAGTGGTTACAAATCAGGCTGCTAACCTCAGGGTCAGCAGTTCGAAACTACCAGCTGTTCCGCGGGAGAAAGATGAGGCTTTCTGCTCCCGTAAAAGATTTACAGCCTCGGAAACCCTGAGCAGGGTCGCTATGAGTTGGAACCGATTCCACAGCACATAACCACCACCACCACCAAACCCACTGGCATCACCTTGATTCCAAGGCACAGTGACCACATCGGACTGAGCGGAACTTGTCCCTTTGGGTTTCTGAGACTGCAAGTCTTTACAGGAAGAGACAACCGTATTTTCCACCTGGGGAGCTGCTGGTGGGTTTGAACCACTGTGCTTGTGGTTAACAACCTAATGCCTCACCCACAGTGCACCAGGACTCCTTAATGTATAATGTTGTTGTCATTGTTGTTAAGTGCTGTCACGTCGGTTCTGACTTATAGCAACCCTGTATATGGTTTCAGAGGCTTCAAATCTTCAAGGAAACAGAAAGGCCCCTTTTGGTCCTCAAAGTGACATCTTTGCTCTTTAATGTTTTAAAGAGGTCTTTGGCAGCAGATTTGCTTAATGCAATATGCTGTTTCATTTCTTGACAACCGTTTTCATGAGTGTTTGTGGATACAAACAAAAATGAAGTGTTGGACAACTTCAATCTTTTCGCCATTTATCATGATATTATTTATTGGTCCAGGGGGGATTTTAATTTTTTTTACATTGAGAGGTCTCTGAGCTTCCTCAGTATTTGAAGTTTCCTTCACTTCCAGCAAGTAGTGGTGTGGTATCTGCACATTGCAGGTTGTTCATATGAGTCTTCCTCCAGTCCTGATGCTGCGTTCTTCTTCATATAATCCAGCTTCTTGGATTCTCTGCTCAGCATGCAGATTGAATAAGCATGCTGAAAGCAAGGATACAACCCTAGTGCACACATTTCCTGAGTTGAAACCATTCAGTGTCCCCTTGTTCTGTTCTAATGACTGCCTCTTGGTTTATGTACAGGTTCCTCATGAGCACAATCAAATTCTTCTCAGTGTTACCCAGAGTTTGTTGTGATTCACACAGTCAAATGCTTTTTATTTTAGCAATCACGCCCTTCCCATGCAGGGGCAAGTGGGTCTGCTGCTTCTGCTTGGAGCCTACCTTGTCTGCTCCCATGATGAAGCATTTTGGACAATCATCCAAAAGTTGTGTGATCTTAAGGAAGAAGTTGGACTTTCAGGTCACCCTGTCTTCCCTGGGCATCACAACGGTGTGTCAGAGATTGCCACATGGGGTTTAAAGATGATGTCACTCTCACAAGGACGCCTGGCCAGAGTAGTCAAATGCTTTTGCATACTCGATAAAGCATAAGGAAACATCTTGTTGGTATTCTCTGCCTTCAGCCAAGATCCATCTGATGTCAGCAATGGTAACCCTTGTTCCACAGCCTCTTCCGCATCCAGTTGGAATTTCTGACAGTTTCCTGTCAATGTACTGCAGCGGCCATTTTTAATTCTCTTCAGTCCATCCATGTTTCCTCTCTCCATTGGTGGTGTGTAGCTTCCTCTTCCAGTCTCCCTACCCTCTGAAGCTCACGGTTCCAGGATCCCCATCTGGGTCTATTTTACTTGGTTTACCATGTCTTTGTTGCAGAGGGTCTTTTCTTCAGTTCTTTTAGCTTGAGAAATGCTGAGCGTGTTCTTCCCTTTTGGTTTTCTAACTCCAAGTGCACATGTCATTATAACTATCCCTAAGGTTCCAAACCCACGGCAGGGACCAGCCCCAGAAACACAGAACCTAATTCCCACCACAGAAACCTCTAGAAGCCTCTCTCGAAGTTGAGTTCTCTGCTATTTATCAGTTGAAGAGTGGGGTTCTATAAGTGGCAGCCTCTGAGGAGATTGGTTGAGAGTTTGTATTTGGGCTGCTAATAGTCAGCCCCATTCAGCCTGATCTTTCGTTCGTTAGTTAAGCATCCATTCAAAGACCACGTGGAGCCATCACTCAATTGCAGACCTCACCCTGAATGCCTGAGAATATGGGGGAGGGGACTGAAGTCATGAGAGAAAGACCCCCACATCACTCTTTTGATGGCTGGTCAGTCCCTGTGTAGTCCCAGCATAAGCTATTCCTGGAACCTTCTCCACCGCCAATCCCATGGCCATGGTAATTATCATCTGACTCTGGCTCCATCAACTTTCCACTTGTGGTTTTACTTCTGGTCCCACCTGCCTGAGCTTAGAGTCAGGTAGTGATAAGGTTAAGCACATGCTCCGCATGGAACTGGGGACGAAGGAGGGTCCAGAGACAGCTCATGACTCAGTCTCCTCCTCCTGGAAAATCCCAGTCATAGAACAAAGGGAACAACCACACTTAGATGCAGTGAGGCAAATAGCAAGACACTGGCCACTAGGGGGCAGTGTAGTTATTGTTGTTGTTAAGTGTCGACAAGTTGATTCCGACCCATAGTGACCCTGTATAGGGTTTCCAAGGAGAAGCTGGGGAGCTTGAACCTCCGACCTTGCAGTTCAAACGGCTTTGCAGTCTGGTGCATTAAGCCACAGTGCACCACCATTAAATCCCAGTGTCTGGGATTCGGCAACAGAGCCCTGTGGCGCAGTGAGTTAAATGACTGTCTACTAACTGCAATGACAGCCGTTCAAACCCACCAGGCACCCTGGCAGTCTGCTTCTGCATAGATCTACAGTCTTGGAAACCCTAAGGAGCAGTTCTAATCTACTTTGCCATTTGGGGTCTCTATGAGTAGGAATCCATGCATCGGCAATGGGTGGGATCTGGCTGCCAGGGTGGGATTCATCCTCTGCCACATAGTAGCCCTGTGACTGTGGGTAAGAAGCTTCAACTTAGTTTCTGCATATTGAATTTTAAAAAATGGGTAGTGCCAGAGAGGCCCAGAGAGAATTGCATGTTTCCAACAGCTCCTGGCTAGGAGTTGTCAATTCCTTATTCTAGTTTTACTGGTCCCTGGTTCTAAGGACAGGGCTGGGCCCCAGAACCCTATTCTCAGCACAAGGATACCCAGTAACCCACCTCTGCTACTCATTCACTGTAGCTCTGCAGATGGGGTCTGAAATTCCAGGGGCTTTACGAACAGGGCAGGAGGAAGGGCTGAGAGCTGCCCTGGGGTTGCTGAAGGTCTGTCTTGTTCTTCCAGGCCCTTTTCTCTCCTGAGTGTCCATTTCAAGACCACATCTGACCATCGCTCAACACAGACAATAGCCTGAGGCTCTGAGCATCTGAGGCAGGAGGACGAGACCTGGAAGAGGCACTTGGCTTTGTCACTCTGCCAAGAGCTGGCCACCCCCTCTTCACATCCATCATGAGCTGTCTGGAACTTTTCCGTCCCCAGTCCTGGGTCCAGGTTGGGGGTCCTCCAACCCTGATCCTGTCACTACTTGGAGACTCAAAGCTCTGAATCCAGGCAGGTGGGACCGGGCTAAAAGACACAGGTAGGGAAGGTAGGAAAAGAGCAGGCACTGAGATCCAACATTCTGACCTCACAGAATCAGCATGAAGCACTTACTGCAGGTCCTGGAACAACACACACTGGAATGGAACCTCCTCACTGAACTGTGGCTTCAAGATCTCACCAGAGACCAAGCACACACAGGGCAGTGCCTGGCTCATCCCATAGTTTCCCCCAAAGGACTGTCCACTCCTAGTCTAAGAGGCTATGTCTGGACAATGTGAAACTGTCCAATGGAAGGAATGGACCACTGTATAGGATACATTTTGGTTGGAATCTGCATGGTTCTGGCTCAGTTGAGGGAAGCATTTAACATGTCTCCGGGGGCAAAATGATGCACAGTCCTTTGAAGAGAGTCTGGCCTGCAAGCAATCTCTGGACAGAGGAACCAGAGGGAGCTGGGAACCCACTCCTCAGCCACTGAGCAGTGCCCAGCCCCATCCCCCTTCTGATGCTGGAATCAAGTTTCTTTCATGGTCTTCCTTGGTGTCTGAAGGCAGAGGAGACACGTGTGCTGAGGGAGAGAGGGAGCCCGGGAGGGGGGAGGGAGAGGACAGGGGCTATGGAGAAACAGTGGATCAGGGACAGGGCTCAGGAACCGGGGGACAAATCTGAGGGCTGAGCTTGAGATGGGGTGGGACCTGGATAGTTCCTCACCTGTCACTATGAGCTCCAGGGAGTTACTACGATTAGAGAAGCCATATCCTAACAGGTAGATGCAGTTATAACGCCCCGCTGTGTCTTCAGTGACTGAGTTAATGAGGAATCTAGCCTCTGTCATATTCCTGAAAGGGTTTTTCACATCTGGAAGTGGGGTGATCTGTGCATTCTTCTCAAGTCGAAACACCTTAGCCTCAGGATGACCTCGGCAAACAAAGGTCACAGGTTTCCCCCAGGGAATCTCAGAGCCTGGCTCCGCTGACAAGGTGGGAGTGGACAGGATATCTAGGAGGGAATCAGAGCAGACACCTCAGGTTTGTTCGTGAGGAAATCGCCACTCCACACTATTTACCCATTTTCAGCTGTTCATTGCAATGACTTCAATAAATTTATAGAGTTATATAACCATCACCACATTCCAAGCTCAGAACATTTCCACCATCCCCAAAGACCCCTCTCATTCAGCCCACATCCATTTTCATCCTCATCAGTGCAGAAGTATTCTCTCCACTTGACAATAAGGAGACTGAGACTTGGTTTCACTTGGGCTTTGATCGGTGTCACACAGGAAGTATGTGTGTCACTAAATCACACCACATGCCAGGTGTGTCTCTGCAGAGCCCAGCTCTGTCCCTGACCATGGCCACTTCCAGGAAACAGAGAGGGAGTGAGAGTATTAGAGTAGCCAGAACTTCAATGGCATCCAGCAAGGGAGGCAGGGGTCTGGGGTGGTCAGGAATGAGATTGCAGCAGCAGGGATGGGTGTCTGCAAAGTTGTGTGGGAACCCAAGGCCGGATGCCAAGCAAAAGAGGGCTCCCTGTCTCTAATGCAAGTCCTCTGTTGAGCAAACACCTCTGGGTTTTCCTGTGTGTTTTCTACATCCATCTGTCTTACTTTCATTTCCTTGTTACTAAGTCTCTTGAAAAACCCTGGTCTGTCTCAACTTGGCTGAGGAAGGTAAGGGAGGGAGAGAGGGATTTGAAATCATGAAGCAAGAAAGTTGTGTCAAACTTAGCAAAATTTGATGGGGGTGGGGGACAAGACAGAACGGGCACTAGTCATACAACTGGGTGGTAGAGTTCCTATTCGTTCACTCGCTTTCATTCACTTCCTGTGCACCCTTCTTCAATCATTCATTCACTCAATCACTTGCTTACTAACTCTTTCACTCACTCATTCATTCACACGCTCGTTATCATTCACCAACTCATTCATTCTTTCAACCATATACTAACGCCGCCCTCTCTACCAATTTATACATTCTTTCCATGTACCAATAATTTCACAAATATGAGAAGCTCAGATATGATCTCTGCCCACTTGGATAGAGCTGAAAATCTAAGAAGTAAGAAAGATGCTGATCAAATCATTGTCCAGGAATTTAGGGGAGCAGATGAGAGGGAATACGGACCCCTCTCTGAGGGTCTTAGAGCTGAGATCTGAGGGACAGGTTACCTCAGCTGAGCAGATATAAGGTGGAGGAGAAGTCAGCATGTGAGAAAGTCCTGTGGGGTGTGGGGATATAGCATGTTTGGGAAGCTGATGGGAACCCAAAGTTTCTGAAGAAAATACATCAGACAGCATGGGGATGGATGTGAATGTGAAAAGAGGATCAGATAAAAGAGAGTCTGATTCTATCTCAAGATAAACCCTGAGAAGACTTCAACGAAAAATAAACATTTGCCTTAAAATTACACACACACACACCAAAAAAAAATTTAATGAAAAAAGAAGCAAATAATATAAAAGAAGTCAAAGCTTAAAAATAAATGAAAAGGAATAGAAAATTAACGAATAAATAAGTAAATAAATAGCTTATTATTTTCTGATGGTTGACAACAAGTCAGTAAGATAATTTGATGGAGATAAACAGGTTGGACGTGTGCTCTTAGCCATAACTTTGGTACGGAGAAGGGAGTGAGGGAGAAGCAGGCCTGGCTAGAGGATAGGCAGAGGAGGCAGACCCAGACACCAACATGAGCCATCACCGAGCTGAGTGCAGAACGTGGCTTGAATGGGGTTGGAGAGAGAATGTGTAAAGAAGACTTGAAATGTCAGAGGTAAAATTGCTATCTTTTTTGACATGTAACATATAAGAGGAGGGTAAATATGGGCTCAAGGATGCATTACCAAATTCTACCTTCTGGGACTACAATAGTCTCTGCCCAGGGGAGGAGGAGGAGGGAGAGTTTGGCTTGTATGGAGAGACTTCATGGCTAGCTTTGGGCATGTTGAGTCAGAGCTATCCTTGGTGCATTAAGTGGAGTTGGTACGAAGATAGAGTGTTTGATTGGCATAAATGGTGGCGTTCATCTTCCCTCAAAGACCCCTCACACCCAGCCCACGTCCACTGGAACCATCACCACGATCCAAACTCAGAACGTTCCCACCATCCCCCAAACACTCCTCAAGGTTAGTGACTTGAGTCCACTTAGAGGCACCACAGAAGACCTGATGATTTATTTCCAAAAACTCAGAACTGAAAACCCATGGGACACAGTTCTCCTCTGATAGACATGAATTCTCTGTCACCAGTTGGCATCAACTAGATCACAACTGTTTTATTTTCTTATTAAGGAGACAGGCGAAGAACAGCAGAAAGAACTAGGCTAGGGTTCTACGTATAGAGTCATTTTCTATTTGGGTTACATTTGAGGGTCTCCCTGAGTCCCTCCCAGAGTAACATCACTTTCATCCAGCTGCCCTAGGGTGGAGGGGTCAGAAGTTTAAAGACATGACTCACTTTTTTGTGCTTGGATCACTGATCCCAGGAACAGTACTGCAAGAGAAGTCTCAGTGAGAAAAATGCTCACTGCCCCAATTCCTTACAAGGCTGCTAGTAGGGATGGCCTGATGATGGAAATGGGGAGCTGGTATGGCTGTTGCTAGTTGTTGAGATTTCCAAGTCATGGTGATGCCAAGGTGTGCAGAGTACCACGGTTCCATAGGCTTTTCAAGGCCATGATCTTTATGAAGCAGAGTTCCATGGCACCACTGGGTGGTTTCAAACAGCTAAACTTTCAGCTACTAGTAAGCTGTTTGCACCACCCAGGGATCTAAGAGGCAATTTAACCTCCTGTCATTTCCAAATCATCCCTTTTCAACATTAATCCTAATATCTAGTTCTTCTTGCTCTGAAATAGTTTCAAGACAAATCCCCAAGCCTTCTCACCCAAGTAAATTCTTGTTAAGTGCCATTGAGTTGATTCTGACTCATAGCGAACTTGTATAGGGTTTCCGAAGAGCTGCTGGTTGGTTTGAACCACAAAACTTGTGGTTCAAACTGACCTTTCAGTCTAGTACTTTATCCTACAGCACCACACCAGGACTTCAGTACATTAGTCCAAACCTTCTTATCCCTACTCCCCACTCCACCCCTCTGTAGCTGGTTCTGAGATCTGTGGTCAGACTGAGACCATTGGTGAAAGTTGCAGGGATGCCTGGAGGGACAGCTTTCTTCCCCCAGTTTTTAGAATTCACCCAGAGGTAACTGGATTCCCAACCCGGAGCGTTCCAACCCTTTGTCCTCTAATTCTCCCCCATCATTCTTGGACTCACCGAGGCCCAGGAAGGTGGTGGGTATAGGTGACATCTCACTACCCTGGAAGTCTGCCTTGTTCAGGATCTGATGATGAGTAAGTAGACAGTGCTCAGCAGCAGACAACGACGAAGAGGATGTATTGGTCTGAGGTCTTTCTTAAGGTTTCTACATCAGCTACTTCCTACAAAACGGAAGTATTCCTCCCCCAGATATTTCCACTCTTCCCCCAAAAGACACAGAGGCAGGGGATGTGGGGCGACTTGGTAGCTGAAAAATGTTTCATACCCAAATGCCTGAAATGAGGATGAATTTATCTCTAGATCAAACCCACTACATGTTAAACTCACTCTAAATCTATGGGGACAGCAGAACACAGGTTATGATACAGACTAACTTGAACATCAGCCCCGATTCCACAAACCAATGACCACCTCCTCCTCCAAGTATTTAATCATATTGCATTTAGTTGCTGTTGACTTAATACTGACTCATGTTGACCTATGTGTGCAGAATAGGTGCAGTTGCTCTGGTAGCGTAGTGGTTACGAATCGGGCTGCGAACCTTAAGGTCAGCGGTTCGAAACTACCAGCTGCTCCGCGGGAGAAAGATGAGGCTTTCTACTCCTGTAAAGATTTACACCCTCGGAAACCCTGTACAGGGTCGCTATGGGTCGGACCCGACTCGATGGCACTTAACAACAACAACATCATACTTTGGTGACATGTGATGCTGGAAGCTATGCCACCATGATTGTAAATCCCAGCAGGACCACCCATGGTGGACAGCTTTCAGTAGAACTTCCCGAGTAAGGCAGATTAGGAAGAAGGAGAGGCTGACCATATCTGAATGGTGGTTGTTATTGTTAAGTGCTATGTGGGTTCTGATCCACAGTGGCCCTATATAGCATTTCCAAGGAGGGACTGGTAGGTTGAACTTGTGGCTAGCAGATCAGTGACCCTGAATGGATAACCACTGAAAACCTTACGGATATCAGCGGAACACTGCCGGGTACAGTGTCAGAATATAAGCCCTTCAGGTTGGAAGGCACTCAAAATATGACAGGAAAAGGACCGCCTCCTCAAAGTCGAGTAGAACTGTGCTTCATAGAATTTTCAAGACTGAATTTTTGAGTACCAAGCCTCAATTCTTCTTTTTTTTTTTTTAAATTGTGAATTCAGTGAAGGTCTTTACTTTCAAGCAATCATGTTTTGTTTCATCTTAACGACTACACACCTCTCCCCGTAACAACAGTCATTCTGCTTCCTTCTTGTGGCTTCCCTTCTACATCTTGTATTTCACAAATGAACAGAGCAAAAATATCTTACGTACACATACAAAACAAAAAATACATATTCATTTAAATATCCAAAAGGCACATTTTGCAGGACAGTCTCCTGCCCACAAGCACATGGCCTCTCTCAGTCTGTGGACCTAGGGTCCAATGATGCTCTGTCTCTCCATGCCATCGCCTTTGCCACCATCTCTATTGTCACTACTTTTCCAGGTAGGTTCTCATGCTCTTCCTTCCTGATGGTCCTGGGGTCCTCTGTTCCTGATAAACTGCTCCCACTTTTAGCTACACATCTTCTACAATTACAGTTTTCACAATCACAATTAATTCTGCTAGTAATTATTCACGATTGAATCATAGAATTCTATCAGCATCATCCCACATCCCTTTTCACCAGATCCATCTGGAAAAGAGGAAAACTATTCAGTGGGGATTGTACCTTACTCCCCTCATTCTGAAACTAAGCACACTTGTGAAAGCTTGTGAACTAGCCACTTCGTGCCTTTTTAGCCCCCCACTTTTTATAGCCAATGTCTAAATTGCCCATCCCTATCAACCCAGTGGTCACTATGGGTCGGAATCAACTTGACGGCACTTAAGAACAACAACATCAACCTGGTGCAGTCCTGGTGTGGCGCTGTGGGCTAATGTGCCAGACTGCAAAGCCGTTTGAACTACAAGGTCGGCAGTTCAAGCTCACCAGCTGCCAGAAACTAGGAGAGGTCTGCCAGAAGACTAGAAACAACTGATCCCTGATTTAGACTTTTAGTCTCTAGAACTGTGAGAAGATAAATTCTGTTCTCTTTTGTTGTGGGCGTTAGGGTTAGTGTTGGTACAAGTTGGGCTAGGACTTGGGCTAGGATTAAGGCTTGTTTTAGTTTTAGGATTAGAGCTAGGTTGTTTTTATGTATTTATTTCATGTTTTCTTGAAAACAACTTGATTTCTCCTTCATTTGGAAGTTCTGTCACCCTCATTTTACTTTATGCTTTGTTGTTGCTGCTGCAAACTCTCGTATCTCTAGTTCCCCTATTTTCAGTCACGTATGTTTGCTTTACTTTGAATACTTCTATATCTGGGTCAGACTCCTGGTGTGATGCTGTCGGATCAGCTTGGAACTGTGAATGACAAGGTCGACAGTTCAAACTCATCAGTTGCTCCTTGAAACCCCTATACAGGGTCACCATGAGTCAGAACCGAGTCGATGGCACTTAATAGCAACATATCTTGGTGGAATTCTGGGTGATATTTGTCATGTATGTTAGTCTCAGACTGTTGTCTCTAGTATTTTTTGTTACATTTGGTCAGTTTTTTGCAAATTCTTTTGATTTCTGTTTATTTGGAAATGTCCTAATTTTGCCATCATATTTGATGGACAGCTTTGCTGGGTATATGATACTTGGTTGGTTGTTTTTTCTTTCAGTGTTTTATATATGTTATGCCATTGCTTTCTTGCCTGTATGGTTTCTGCTGAGAAATCAGAGTTTAGTCTTTATTAGTTCTTTTTTGTAGGTAACTTTTTGTTTTTTCTGAGCCGCTCTCAGGATCCTCTCATTGTCTCTGGTTTGGGGAAAAGCTTGATTATGTTTTGCTGATTTTCTTTTGGGGTCTATCCCTTTTGGAGTTTGTTTAAGTTCTTGAATGACTATCTTCTCATTTCTCATGATGCTAGGGAAGTGTTCTTACAACAATTCATGTCCCATTTTCTCTCTGATATATATTTTTGGCTTTTTTTCCCTTTTGGAATTCTAATCACATGTAAATTATTCCTTTTGATAGTGTCCCACATAAGTCTTAGGCTTTCTTTGGAATTTTAAATTATTTTGGGGGGGGATTGTTCCTCTAGCAGATAAATATTGAAAGATTTGTCTTCAAGCTCAGTCATTCAGTCTTCCATTGATTCAATTCTTTGTCCTCTGAATGTTCTATTTCTGAGGTCTTACTTAGTATTCATCTTCTGATTTCCTAATTGCTGTTTTTGCATGGTTTCAATTTCTCCTTTCTTTTGTCAGTTGGTTCTTGTAATGTTTTTCTGAATTCTTCTAAAGTTTTTTGTGTGTGTGCGTTCTCCTTGCTTTCCTCAGTCTTTCTCTCAATCTGTTGAAAGTACCTAATTATCATTCTTATAAATTCCTTATCAAGTAGCTCTGATACCATTTCTGGTGTTATGTTTTCTGACTCAGTCTTGAGGCACTCTATCTTGTTTCTTCATGTAAGCTGAAATTGTCTGTGTTCTCAGAGATGTTGTGGTGTCATTGTATTTATATTTCATTGGTGATGGTCTGTTGGTGTGTTCTCGGGCACCTGTCTCCAGGTGAATGTGCTAGAGACTGGAAGTGTGAGTACAGATCTCTGTTAGCTGTTTGTATAGTGTAGTTCAGGGTGAGTCCAGGTACCTCCAGAAGCAGGGTTGGTATCCCTGCTGCCTGACCTCGGGCAGAGTAAAGGTCATGCAAGAGGGGGTGCCATTGGCCATTGGATTGGTGAAGGCATGGACTGGACATGCCCTGAGCTACCAGGAGGGCAGAGAACATGCGGGAACTGCATCCCTCTTGCTTGCAGCCAGTAACTGCATCCTGTGCCCACAGGCCTCTGTGTCAACAGCCCTTCACAAAAGCTCGAGATGGCTGTGCCACTGCATGCCAGCTGTCAGGTTGCCCAATTTTCTTCTCTCTCATTGCTCCTGTTCAACTTTTTCTTCCTGTGGGCACTCTAACCACCTCTCTGTTCTATGCTCTGAAGCTCAGGGCTGTAGGCTCCCTAGCTGTACCTGTTTCACTTGGTCCACCATGTCTTTGGAGTCCTTCTGTGATGCTGTGGGTTAATGCACTGGACTGCAAGGTAGGTTTTAACTTCAAAATAGGTGGTTCAAACTCACCAGCTGTTCCTTGGAAACTCTGTACAGGATCTCTATGAGTCAGAACTGACTCGACAGCACTCGACAATGGCAACCACCATGTCTTTGTGCAGAGAGTTGGCTCAGTGAGCCTGCTGACTCTGCCACTTTGCCTCAGAGGTCCATAGTTTGATTTCTTTGCCTGTTGCATTGTCATGCTGTCACTCTCTTCTATCTTCATTCAACTGTATTCAGGAGACAATATTTGCAATTGTAGTGAATGGGAAATTGTGATTTGGCCCATGGAAGATGACTTTTGTTAATATTCTTTTTCCACTGTTAAACCTTGAGTGATGTCATCATTTCGGTTTCTACCATTTAAATTGTTTTCATTACTGCCCCCCTCTCTCTCTCCGAGTCCAAAGTCTCCAGCCGCTCTATCTCCCCATGTCATCGCCTCTGCCTCCATCTCTGGCATCACTGCTTCTCTGGGTAGGGTTCTGTTCTCTGCTTTTCTCCTATGATGGTCCCAGGGACCTCTGCTCCTAGACTGTAAGGTTAGTCACTCCCCTCCCTTTGCCCCCAGATGTCTACCTTTACATTTCCAACCCTCACAATCAGTCCTGATGAACAGTTATTCGCTATTGTATCACAAGAGACCTATCTGCATCTTGTTTCATCAGCCCCAACTAGACAGAATGGATACTACTCAATGGAGATCCTACCTTGCTCCACACCCTATGGATCTAGGTTCCCTCTTGAAAGCTTGTAAGCCAGTCACTTCTTGCCTTTGTAACCCCTCCCATTTTGGGTAGCCAATGTCCAAGTTGCCCATCCCTGTCTACTCTGTATGGAGGGGATGGGAATGATCCTTGCTGTAAAGATTTGTTCCCTCTTTTGAGCTACTGCATCCGTAGGTGTAGGTC